TACATATAAGAAGACATTCAGATAAAAGAAACTGTGTACACGCTTATTCGTCACACAGTACACCTCTACAATCACACTGGACACACAGTACACCTCGACAATCACACTGGACACACAGTACACCTCTACAATCACACTGGACATACAGTACACCTCTACAAACACACTGGACACACACAGTACACCTCTACAGTCATAATGGATACACAGTACACCTTTACAATCATAATGGATACATAGTACACCTCTACAAACACATTGGACACACAATACACCTCTACAGTCATAATGGATACATAGTACATCTCTACAATCACAGTGGACATACATTACACCTCAACAATCACAGTGGACACACGGTACACCTCTACAAAGAAACCTTGAGAAAGACTCTGTGTACAGAGTAAACGTTCACAAAGACTCTGTACACAGAGTACAACTCTACAAATAAATCAAACCAAAGTTCAACACTACCAAACTAAATACACCTCTACAAACACACTGGATACACAGTACACCTTTACAATCAAATAAAATACAAATTACATATCTAAACCCACTGTACATAAAGTACATCTCTTCAACCACACTGATTACAATGGATGCACATCTCTACAACCACAATGTACACATTATTTCTAACATACCTTTGCAGTTGGATGCTGATACATGTGTGATTCACCCAGGACAACTCTATCAATGTAACCTGCTGCCCCTCCAGTACAGTTGAAGTATTTACCACCATTATGTAAACCACCAGGTCCAAGGTAGCCTCTGCAACGTATGACGGTGTTACTAAGTTCTAATTAGGTCTAACATATTTACACAAACAGCTTACTGGTTTAACTTAGGTAAGACTTAATTCTACATCACAACTAACATTGTCTGGCATACTTTTTGTATTTGTATAGTAACTTCTAATATTTTAAGTAATTATAAAACCATTATTGAAAATAACAAACGAGTCAGTCATATTAACATTACTTAGAAAAGCAGTAGTTACTATATTAATTATAATTAAAAGTGTACATTTATCTAGCGAAACATATTTACTGAAAATCACAGAAGTAAAACTTGCCTGGGACATCCTGGTACTTCAAGCAGAAAAGTCAAGAGAATGTGAATCAGCAGAATCACAAACATCCATAACCACTCCCCCCAGTACAACAAGATATCTCGAACAGGGGCCCATTTCTCTTGCTACGTTGCAGTGACAGAAATAATATTAATGAGAAAAATGCTATCATTAATTTTATTTTAAGATAAACATATTCAACTATGAAATGGAAAGATATAAAATGTGTTAAAAGCATGAATTGATCACTACTGCATGAACGTGCTGTCATTTAGGTTTTTTTAAAAGAAACTTAGGTAGAAAGCAGGTATTTAACTCTACCAACAGAACCAATACAGAGTCTTAGTTTAAACTTTTCACTTTGTTTCGAGTCGCTATTCTAAAATAACATAAAATTAAAGGACCACAATGGACTTCTCGGTCCATCTAGACTTAGATTTACTATATGCAACAGAAATGAAGGCAATCCATTCCAAAGGACAACCACTCTGTTAGAAAAATAAAACTGTCTTAGCTGAAGATGACTCCTACCATGACAAAATTCATATCTGTGTACCCTAGTCCTAGTAGCCCTCCTCTGGACAACCACTCTGTTAAAAAAATAAAACTGTCTTAGCTGAAGATGACTCCTACCATGACAAAATTCATATCTGTGTACCCTTGTCCTAGTAGCCCTCCTCTGAACCCTTTCCAATGAAACAATGCCATTCTT